GAGCAATGTTGGACTTTAACCCACTTGCTAACGAGATGTTTATTGTCGTTAAGCGTGCGCTGTAATTGGGTTTCTTAAGCTTGGAGCGCACGTGTTATTGTTGCTCATCAGCGTCGAAGGGCGCCGAGACGGGAGATTGCTGCTTATAGTAACGCAAGATGCAGCGGAATGCTAACACGTTTTGCTAAATATTTTAATGTTTACATCTCGTGAGCCAGTCTACTTGTTGATCGAGCATTCTGGCCCTGGGACAGAGCCGCAACTGAGTCTAAACACCCACCACGGCATTTCAACTGCTGGAGCTGTTGGCAGCAGGGAGGAATTTCCTTAGGTCCTGCAGGCATTGTGGTCTGTGGGTGCCCAGTCTGGTTGTTGTTGGAGATTACGGAGATTGAAGCACAACACTTCAACATCTCACGCTTCCCTCAATGTCAGCATTGTGATTGAATATCCTGCACTGCATCGCGTGCTTATCACGATTATAGATAGTTTTGTATGTATATGTATTAGGCGGCGGCGGGGGGGGGGGGGTGACGCAGTGGTTTGCACATTGCCCTTTGGACCTGGTGACTTGAGTTTGATTTCCAGCCATGGCTAACATCAGTGGGGAGTTGTATTGGAACCGGCACATTACCAAACTGCACTGACCAGCGTAGTGAAGTATGATCAAACAACCCCTTGACTGACATGGCAGTGTGCTGACAACATTCTGTAAATTATTAAATTATAATATAGAAAACGGTTATATTTCTTGTTCCACGGAATGGTGAATACCATTTTTAAAAATAATTTATACAAATTGAAAAACTATGTGAGACAATATTCTGCTGTCACCTCCAGGCTAATGGAGGAAACTAAATAAATGACAAGCAATACAAGTGGGGCGGTATTTGTGAGAGTGAGCAAAATTGCCGAATCATCATTCCCAAGTCGTGACGATTCACAGAATCGCGCGCCGTTGTGGGGTAGAAGTGCATCGTCACGAGGATTGGTGTTTGCCCACGTGCGTGTTCCTACAGCAGCGTTTTCCCACCGCAGTGCTCGCAAAGGTACTATAGAGTCCGCCTTTTCACGAATACCAATTCCCCATCTTTGACTGGATGGATGTTGAACTTATTTCACACCGTACATAGCCAACCGCGCTAATGGGAGGTGCAGGGGAAAGACAACAAACTAAACACAAAAAGCAGTTCTATAGAACTGAGCTTTCATTGTAGATTCTAAAGTGCATAGCTTCAGCGGCTTCCTAATATCGGAAGAGAGAGCGTTCCAGGCGGCCTTAGAAGCGCATCTGAAAGTACGCGATGCGGTGTCCATCTTTGTACGCAGTGACCATCTGAAACAGGGTTGTCGGTCCATGGAAAAAAAACCTGAAAATGTAACCTATAATTCCAACATCTCCATGTTGTTGCCTTTTCATGCTTAGCACGTGGCTGGAGTCGTGTCCCAGTTCTCCTTCACAGGTTCTTCCGAGTGAAATGATGGCCCCTCCCTTCAAAAGCAGTTCCGTAACAGCTGTTTTCGAGTTCCTCAATGTTTGTCAATCTTAAGTGTGAAACATTCTCCTTGATAATTCCCCAAAGGGGAAGCCCAAACGTGGGCTTTGGGGCTGGCCACGTCACATCAGAACCTCTCCCAGTCCATCGTCCACTGAATTCCTGATTAAAATATTTCCACATTGGGAGGGCATGTGCTAGAAAACAATATTGATTGGAAACGGACTTTACGGTCATGTGATACAATGTTTAGATCACAGGACACATACATCTCACATGTTGCTGCTTAATTTTTCAATTTAATAACGCTCTAATTCAGATGGGTTTTTTTCCATCGAAAAACTCAACACACTCGTCAACAACACTGCCTTTTAAGATTACAACTAAATATATAATTGATGACGTTTCGGGCAATGGCCCTCCATATCACAGAAGAGCCATTGCCTGAGACATCACTAATTACATGTTTTCTTTAGAGGCGGTGTCGTTGACGAGTGTGTTCAGCTTATTTATTAATTGTTTAGTCTGCTGTCCTTTCCCCGCACCTCCGAGTAGCGCGCTTTGCTACGTACGGTGCGAAAGAAGTTCAACCTCAATGCAGTCGTGCTTAGTGGCACCACTGCCAACGCAGCAGTGTCACCAAACAATGTTTTTTTTTTGTATCGAGTCATCGCGCACTGATAAGGCTTAAGGGAAATATTGAGCCATTGGACCAGCAGATCCGCGTACCTGTCGATGAGTCTTGCTCATCCACTCAAGATTACGAGCTTCCTCATAAGTGCCAACCTCTAAAGCGTCTTGAGAAACTGTAAATGTCACGTGACCTGATATTCAGCATAAATTCGTGTAATGCGATGGACACGTGGTGCTCCACTCTTTGCACAGTAAGGAACACTCGTGATAACCCAGTTTCTAACAGTTGCGGAAGTTCTTAACAAAATAAACAAGTGGTCAATGTATTATTCGCATATCCTTCCCCACGAAAGCACATTTATGTATTTATTTATTTATTACACATCCCGTCAACTGCACGACCGTCTGGGAGTGACATCATTTCAGCAGGATTGTTTCAAGACAAGCAAAGTCTGGATTGGTTTCGACATACAATGTCTCATCATCCGTGAGGTTTTCTTGAATCACTGCTCGTGAACTGCCGATCGTACAGGCAATGACCCTCTTTACGCTATTGCGTCCTAGTTATAAATGTACCGGACTTAGCTCCTTACAGACCAATGACTTTTGCTCAGAGATAGCTAGCTACGAGTGACACTGCAATTAGTGCTGTGGGACAGTCACCTTCCGTGGCTGACCCCATTGTGACACCAGGCTCCAAGTTGCGAAACGATGCCTCATTTTCGTCACACAACTTCCTTCATTTTGTTTGACGAAAACGTAATTGGCAATTGACCAAATGGTTAATGACGTCCACTTGTGTTCATTTGCTGCAATCATTGACGTTGTTTTATGCTCACAATTCTAACTTATCATCATCACCGGCCGTGATCTATCCACGGCTGGGTGAAGGTCACCCCAAGCTATCGCATCTCTCACAGTTTCACGATGCAACAAGCTACCTGTATAAAACATGTACCGTACACGCACATCTCATATCCTTCAGCGCGACAAATTCAGCCGGTGGTGGCGCACGCCTGTAATCCATCACGGTAGAGACGAGGGTTGGTCGATCACACAAATGTCTGTTCCCGTGAGCGTCGAGGTGTCACATACCCTGGCTTGCCAGGAGAACGGTGGTGCAGCAAATGTGCACTACACCTGTTCCATCTATACGGGATAGCGTGTTACCCCGTCGTGTGCGTGACTTTTCCCCGGGTGCTCCAGTTTCCTCCCACATGTAAACAAACACCTGCTAATTGGCTGATAACGCCTTCATATATATAGGATCACAGAGCTTGGGGGTAGTTTGGCACCGGCTCACCGTGTGGCTGTCTTCCCACTTGTCCGTGGTTCCTTCTTGCACCTCTGAGTAAGTTGGTATCTCTTCGAAAGTGAGTGAATACTGTGCACGTAAAAAAATAATCAACCTTCTATTGCTTTTGCAGAAATATGTAGCGTATTTGGCAGCTATAGATTTCCACGTCATAAGCCACTTCGTTGAGCTATCATTTGTGGCCAGATGGCTTCTGAAAGAGCTCTATAGCTCAGTGGGATTTGTCTGGTGAAATAAAAAAAATTGTTTTCGTTCAGTTTTAGCCTGTGGTTTTTGCATTGTTTTGAAATTGCCTTTAATTTACGCATTAAGGCTATTTTCTGTGATAATCACCTAATTGTTTTTCTCTAAGCTATAATTGCATACCATCAAGCACGTATTACCCATACAGTGATGCGTTCAATTTATATTGTTTAACCGGGTGAGCATTCAAGAATCAGAATCTTTATTTAAACTGGAGGAATCCGATGAACTATGAAGCTCTTTTTCACAGATGTTCAGATGGACATCAAGAGACCAGGATAAGGCTTAACGAGTGATTGGGGTCATTAAAATGACAACAACCAAACAAATAAAATGAAAGCACAGCGATGGAGTAAATAACCGGTGTCACGTGAGAAATCCCAATCATTGTGCAAACATAAATCACTGTTGAATAATAAATAGCAATTTGATGATTTCATCGTGAAATACAGTGCCGTAAAGGAATATACTTTTAAAGATGATTTAGAGCTGGGTAGACACACATTTCGAAAGCGGCCACACTGAGCGATTCTCGATCGGTAGATCCTCAAGACAATTGTAAATAACACTGTTTTGAAAGAAGGAAAACTAAAATCTATAATAGATGACGTTTCGGGTAATGGGCCTTCTTCATGCAGCCATTGCCCTAAACATGACTGAGTGGAGTGCTGTGAGCACCTCGATCTGAGATTTATTTCCCGGCCACGGCTGATATCGCAATCAGAAGATGTATTTAGACTGGAGGAGTCCGATGAGCTACGAAGCCCTTTCTCACAGATATCCAGTCGGGGCGGGTAAGAACGTTACAACAACACACGCGATTGAAACTAAACCGTGTCCATCCTGCCAGACAAAGCCCACGGAGGTGTTAACTTATTTTTCAAAAGCGACCTGGCCATAAACGATAGTTCGACAAAGTGGCTTATCATTTGCACATTTATAGCAGCAAAATTTACTAAATAGTCTAAACGCATGTTTATACATGTGGAGGACAAAACCGGAGGACCCGGAGATTTTAAAAAATCCACGCGACCACGGGGAGAGAGAGACACGCAAACTCCAAATATACAGCAGCAGGCGTCAGGGTCGGGATCAAACCCCTGGTCCTCCTGCATGCCAGGCGGGGAAGATAGCGTCTCACCACCACCTTGGCGCCCATTAAATAAATACATTACATAGGTTCTAATAAATTATATAAGTTAAAATAAAGTTGATGAGTGATATTAGAACTTGTTCCCCGCCCCTCCCCCACCCCCATCTCACAAACCCACACTGGACCGGCGTGGTGAAGTATGGCCAAACGACCGCCGCTGTCAAAAGGGCGCGGCGATGCTTCTAGCATCCGTGAGCGGGTGAACAACGGGACGTACCATAATGATGCGCTGCTCTTAATTTCAATTGTGGGAACAAACCCACAAGGATGACCAGCGCAGAGATGGAGCGCTGGAACGAGCTGATGGTGCAGCAGCAGCAGCAGTGAAATGGAGGGGGAGGCTTTCATGCAGCAGTGGATAGAACATAGCTGCGTGCCACGATCGCAGTGTTACTTTTCAACCAAACC